TTGACATAATTGGAAGGCCGTTTACGAATGATTCCGATAATAAAAAAAAATAGGCGTGGTATACACCATTTTGTAGATAATTCAATGTAAATTTACCGGATAACAAGTTTCAGTGCAAAAGACAACCGCAACAACGAAATATAACGGAAGTTCGCAACCGGTGACATTTCTCAAATATACGAGTTAGGTACCTTGTGTTATATTAAGGTATATAGAAAATAAAAAAAATTTCAGAGACAAGTGTCTGTGAGGCATGCGCCAGAAAGTAATCCTTAACACGTTGATGGTAATCCGTATCTAAAGAAGAAGAAGAGATTTATGTATGTATGAATATTTAATTTTTAATAAGGAGGTATCGGTTTCCGAGTGGTCTAAGTAGTTCATTTATAAATAGTGCTCAACCTGCAAACATTGAAGTTGTGAGTTCGAATCCCGATCGTGGAAAGATGTGTTCGATTCGATCTTAATTGAATATGATTGTAAATTTTCCTGTCGAAGACCGGTTGTTCTTTCTTGGTTCTCCGACTTCCTCAACTAATAAAATCGGACAGCCATGATAGTGTTCAATCTGTATCATTATTATTTTCACTTGACCGAAAACCAAAACTATACCGAAGTTGGTTTGTTATGGGAGTCCTTTGTTGCGAAATTTTGCAAAATCATGCAAAATTTGCAATATTGTATCAAAATTGTCTTCAATAGCAATATTAAAGATCGACTAACATTTTGATATTAATTATGTTTTTTGTCATATTGTAAACAAATTTCTTTACCAAAATAATAGACTATTTTATATTCCAGTGGGTTTAAAAACTTTCCAACCCGGTGAGTGAAACAAATACATAGAGATATTTTGCTCTACCTCTTTATAGTCTTTCCCAAATTGACCCGGGCGATTAAGAGCCTAGGCAGCTCTGTTTCTGAAGACCTCTTGATCTCTTTTTGTTTTTTGGGTGTCCTTGGTCTATACATTCATTTATCAGAAAATGCATACTCTATACCAGATGGAAATTGTTCATCATACGGTAACTGGTAAAGTATTTCAAAGTTGAACGAGAGGCAAACTTGGAGTTAAAGTTTTCGTTCGGGAAGCAATCAAGCTTTTCGATAGTGTTCAAAAATGGTTCGGTCACGCTGTTCGTGTCTTTTTTAATTTTTGTTATTTTTGAAATTTTATCCTCGATGCGTTCCAAGATTTTCAAGTGCTAAAAATGATTTCCTTTCCGCTGTTTATTGTTTTTTAAAGCCATAAAATCTAAAATTTCCAAGTTTGTTTTATGCAAAGAGGTATAGTCTTTAAAAATGTATATTATCATTCAGTTTATCAAATGTGTCCCAAAAACTGTTCTGAAGCAAAAATTATTTGAAAGCAAATTCCGTTTCCTTCTACTGTAAAAACAAAAAACTAGAAAAATAATATTCATTAATATAAGCTGTGAATTGATGTAAAAAAAAATCAATTTGACAGACTGACATTTTTTCTTTGAGATTTATCAAGCATGGAATAAAATTCGACAATATATTTTTTTTTTATTCAAGTAACATTTCCCATCAATTGTTAAGAAAACTATAGATAAGAATAGCGTAACGGAGAAAAAAGCTTGATTGCAACCTAACAAAAAAAAACACAATTCTTGTACGGGAAAAACCTAACAGGTGAAACTGTCATCTGAAATGGGAAGTGATTTATACGACTAAACAATACGGAGGAGAGCTTCTATCTAGACTATTAGACATATGTAATTGAAGTTTAGTTTGGTTGGTGCCTATTAAAACGTTTAAACCCGCTGCATTTGTTTGCACATGTCCTAAGTCAGGAACCTGATGTTCAGTGGTTGTCGTTTGTTGATGTGGTTCATAAGTGTTTCTCGTTTCTCGTTTTTTATATAGATTAGACCGTTGGTTTTCCTGTTTGAATGGTTTTACACTAGTCATTTTTGGAGCCCATTTATAGCTTGCTGTTCGGTGTGAGCCAAGGCTCCGTGTTGAAGGCCGTACTTTGACTTATAAAGGTTTACTTTTACAAATTGTGACTTGGATGGAGAGTTGTCTCATTGGCACTCATACCACATCTTCTTATATCTATGGTATACATAAAGTTGAATATATCTTATCCAGTCATGAAGCCACACAACGAAGAATCATTTATTTATTTCTACGTTTTAGTTGCCATATCTGGTCATTTTCATAGTGCACTCATATCTGTCAAAACCCTGGTATTGTCCGTGTCACAAGACACCGATGACGCACCGCATATATAATCCCCCACCCACGGGAACAGATAAATTGATTTACATGATTTGGTGCATATGAAGTTGTTAATAATTAGATTTATTAAGCAGTAGATATTGTACATATATTAATGTGAATTCCCGGTTGATTTATGACAAGATTGCCTATATTCCATTAATCTTTATAAAATTTCGTCCAGTTTCGGTTAATTTTCTGATTACTTTTTCAATAACCAATTGTGGTATGTACATGATATTTGCTCAAGATATGACTGGACCAGATTGAAACTTACACAAGAAAATGGATGGGAGCCCAGGGGTCATTCAATATATCATGCTGCCTTATCGAACATCGCTATACTATACTAAATAAGATTGTATATCAAGAACTACAGTAAAACAATCAATCTTTTTTTTCCATTATGATATCAAAAGTTATGATTGTGACAGTAAAACAAAGCTAGAAGCTATCAACCTTCACAAACAAAATTTATCAGTGCAAGAGTTAATTACAAGACCAATGCATCATTGTCTGTAGTTATGAAAACATCGAAACCAAAGAATACAAAATATTTGAATCTGAGGAAAATTAAATCAAATGGTCTGTTAATGACATTCCGTTATGATTCCGTCTGACTTTCCGTTATGATACCTTTGTATTCGACTGTCTGTAAATCATACCAAAGACTGTGATTGCGATACTCTAATGCAAATATTTTTGTCGCATTTAAATAACAATACAAAAGAATACTGTTGTCACCAAGGTGTTACATATAGGTTAATATATAAAACATGTTGAGTATACATCAATCAGACATCTGCATACAGTATTAAACAATATGAAAAGCACTAAATCAACCTATTCTAACAAAAACTTGTGAATAACTATAACCGAGACTGTTGAAGATCTGCCATCAACATTAACGTACCAAAAATAACACGAGGCGGTGTTAAACTAGTTTTTTATTATATAAACCGCCTTTTTTTTACTAGTTGGCTAAACTTGAAAAATGTATATAAAACAACATGCCAAAAAATGCTCACAGTGACTGAACGCAAGCTTAAACACTGAGCTTAAACTACTTAACTTGCTGATATCATATCGTCCTACATTCTTCTATCGGTGGTTGTAGATTTCATAATGCAACATCATTAACAATACAATATGCGTCTCTTATCATCGAGAAAATATGTCTTTGTATATTTGTCTTTGTTTTTTTGTTTGTTTTTGTATTTGTATTTTGTAATCGTCAGCTGGTATCATTCCTGTATTGGAATTTACACCAATAGAATTATTTGATTTGATTTTGATTTTATTACATGAATACACGATCGAGTGCAGTGCCCTTAACAAATCCGTACATATTTTCAATGTAGGATAACAAAACGAACATGGTTTTGCCGACTTTACCGCTAGTATGGGTTTTTCATTGTTGAAAGCCGTAAGGTGGTCTATAATTGCTTACATCCACTTCATTTGAACTCCAGTTTGTAGTTGTCTCATTGGCAATCATACCACATCTCCTTTTTACATCGGATGACCGTGAAGGCATTCCGGTGTATTGTTGCCACAGACATTTCTACCCACGTAACTTTAGTTTTTGACTGATAACCGAGCGCAAAATAACATTCCTTATCGCTTGTTATATATCAATTTCATCAATAAATATTCATGAAAATAATTTTTAAGAACATAGATAAATGATATGAAAATGTTTTGTCGTGAGAAATATATATATCAATAACAAATTAAGAATACCGAAAATGTGTGTTAACGCATGCGGAAGAATATCTCAAGAACGTTTTGCTGGAAAATATGAATGTCTACTCAAATCCAATCTATTAGAAAAATCGAATTATTACAGAAGAGTGTCCAATGCACTTGCACTGCACTGTTATTAGAATAGTAGAATAGAATGATATACAAATGGATGAAAATTATATATACATGTAACTGTAATATACAAATATTAATATAATATATAACAACAGACCAGAGTATACTGATTTGTATCACTACAGTATAATAGTTATGACGGTGAGGTTCAATTCCCTCTCATTTATTCATCATCCACGCACTAACTTGTCTCAGAAAAAAATATATCTATGGACCTTAACCTCACTTTCAGGTATAGAGATGTGATTTTTTTTCTGAGACAAGTGCTTGTGACCATCCGATTGCGGTCATCCGATGTTCAGTACTTCAGTACTTTGATTATTATATGTTAGTCCGGCTGGCTTCAAACTATAAATAAACGCAATGTTTGATTGAATGTTGCTTGCTGTCCAGTGGCAAATATTTCAAAACACAAAGTTATACAATGCTCAGAATAAATATATGTTTAATTTCAGGACAGACAAAAAATCATTTTAGTCTAGTATTTAACTATTTATAAGCAAACTGATTATACCCTCCACCCTTTTTTCCCTGAAAAAAAATATGCTATTTTGAAAATATGATTTTTATACAAAAAATGAGCATTTACCCCTATCATTTTTCCAATTTGACAAATTTGAAGGAAATATAAAAGTTATACAAAATTTGAGGTATTAAAGTCGAAGTTAATCATAGCAGGTCTGATTTTTTATTTGACGACTAACTATAGGAAATTTTTTATTTAAAAAATGATCAAGTATCATTAATTGAATTTAAGATCCAAAGGATATGCATATGAAAAAAAAAAGATTCATAAGTTTGTTTGCTCTATTGGGGGTCTTTTTCATCTCAGTGTTTTGGTCTTTAGTCGAACCTCGAATAACGAAATCTTCATTGAAGAGGCGATTTATAAATACGGCGGGAAATATTTGAGCTGGAAATCAAGACGTACGACCAGAAAGGCTAACTCCCAACAGCCCAACGAAAGAAAAATTATATGGAAATGTGTAGTACAAATTATATTCTTTGAACGTTTGTAGGGCGTTCTCTATTTTGAATTGTGAGTAAAATTTATTTTTTCTTTACGAATTATTACCAACTGATTTTGTAACTGTTAAAGTCAAAATTTCATTTTTAGAAACTCTTAATTTATGCAGGGACTTTCTGTACTAGTTAGTATAGACTGTCCCTGATTTATGACACTTTGAATTGACAATATACACTTTAACAAAAATAGCTGTGTTTACCCCATGAAATTTTCTCTGAGTACAGACAAAACTGTGTAATTTTAAAAGTTTTAATGCCTGGCAGCACCTAGATAAAATAATGTTACATCCAATTTATATTCTAAAAAGTTAAAACACTTTATGGATTTTGATGAACATTTTCTTCCCTTGCCACAGAAGATGGTGAAATAAACAAACACCTGAGTTTTCTTTGATACAGTCCACTCATTTACACTATTTAAATCACCTTTGTTGTGAGTAGATTTCTATTGTCCCTCTATTGTCCATATCAATCAATATGATACAATACAAACATTACCTGAGGGGGACCATCTCAGGACATCACATGACTTTGTTTATTTTTACACCACCTATAGCAAGGAAAGAAAATGTTTAGCAAAATCCACAAAAGTTTTTTTCTTTTTAAAACACAAAATGAATACAACTTGTATATATCTAGGTGCTGCCAGGATTTAAAACTATTAAATTTACACAGTTTTGTCTGCATTCAGAGAAAATTTCAGGGTGTAAACACAGCCATTTTTGTGGAAGTGTATAAATGAACCTTAAGGTTCATGTGGACCCTTTCAGGCTTTGGTTAAAATGGCTGCGTTTTTACCTCAAAATTTACTCTTGAGTACAGACAAACCTGTGCATCTGGAAAAGTTTAAGACATAGTATGCCTTAGATACATTGTAGATAAAATTCAAATGCATTTTATGTTTTAGAAAATTAAAGACTTAACTAGATTTTGCTGTGGACTTTTTTCGTCCTTGGAGAAGATGATAAAATTAACATACAGTTGAGTTTCATTTGATATGGTCCACTCAGTGACACAGTTTAAACCTCAAATTATTGTCAGGTATCTTTTGTCCTTCTATGGTCCATTTCAATCAATACAGTTCACTTCAATACGCTTGATTTCAATCGTTATCTTTCCAGTGTTTGGTTTTAGGTGACGTTATTTGACGTCATTTGTGCGTTTGTTGGGCATAAAATCTATTTCAGTACTTTGAGCTAAGGGATGAATGTTCAAATGGGGATAACTTTTTCATGACTACTTTGATAACTGTTTTTAAATGATAAAATTGATATATTTCTTAAGGCCGGGTTGGATTATAAGAATAAGGGTGTTTGAAAAATGTCAAGCAGTCACAATTACTTTATCAGTTCGAATTCAAAGATGCAGGGATCCAGTTAGCCCATAAAACGTTTAAATGATGTGATAGTAAAAATGAGCGTATAGTAAAAGAGTATTTCTGGTAATGGAAATGATATGGATCAAACGTATCATTACCTGTGGGGAAGTTCTCAAACCTCTTTCCAAACTTTGTTTATTTTATGCACCTTTTGTAGAAATGAAAAAAAGTGCACTGCAACATCCAGTTAATTTTTTAATTTTCTAAAACATAAAATGCATTTGAATTTTATTTACCTAGTCAAGAGCATGCTACTTTTAGCCAAAGAGTCCACATGAAGCATAATATCTGCACCATACCCATGTGGTTGGACCATATAATGAGTATATACGCATATGATCCAAATACTCATATGGTCTGGAACATATACATAATACATAATTTCATGATGACATCACAATTAACTGACCAATCAGTCATGTCAGATGACCCCTGTTGTTTAAATTAATTTCATTAATTTGATATCATTTTTCGTATTTATATTCCTATTGGGAATATGAATTTGAGTTTCATTTCCATATCAGCAAGAGTTTATCAGCAGTACCCTGAATATCTGAAAGCGTTTTTTTATATAACTCTAATACCGGTAATATTGACAATAAAGACACTATAATTTTGAGATATGTGTGCATGTCATTTTTACTATGTATATAACATTGTACATTTCAACTTCAGAAATACAATTTAATCAATGGTTTATTGTAATGATCCTTTATGAAGTGCAGAAAAGAATGAAACTGAAATAACACTTTGTATAAATTTTTTGTGCTTAGGTTTTTTCTCGATTTACCTTCATCATAAACGCTCAAAGACCAAAATATAAAAGCCAAGGATGTATGAATACAAGAATACTTAAAGAGCTATATGACCAAATGGGACCTAAAAACATAGTCGAAATCCATCTACATGTGTAAGTCCACTTTGACTGAGGAGTTAGAACCTTCGTTTCCTGATAATTTCTGAAGTAATATTGATGGAAGTATGTTATGAATTAAGTTGGGGATTTCCCAAATCTATCGCTGAGCACTTTTCATACAAAAAGTTATTTATTTGTAAACAAGTTAAGTACATGCATTTGGTATGTATTTGATAACTTTTCATTAAGTCAATTTTAAATAAAAAATGGTAACAAATATACAAGATTATATATATATTATTTTTATAGGGAAATTTTATCATAAATACACAAGAATGGACAAAGCAGAGTTAGGAAAACAGTTTCTAAATCAGTTTCAAAGTACTTTATTCTCCAGTAAAGTAGATGATGGTACTGCGACAGAAAAAGCAGACATATTGAGGAGGACACTGATGGAATTAAAAGTGGCAAACAATGTTAATTTGTAGGTTTTGACTATATATACATGATGACAAATGTAACTGTACAAGCTGTATTTGGCAAAACCTTTCAGAACTTTGGGTCTTCAGTGCTTTTCAACTTCATACTTTTTTTTGCCTTTTTGCCTTTTTTGATTAAGCATCACTGACGAGTATTTTATAGACGAAACACTTGTCAGGCTAACAAAATTTTAATCCTGGTATCTATGATGAGTTTATTGTACAAGGAAAAGCAGGTCATATTCTGAAAATATGTGCATAACATACATTTGTACATTATGGATTTATATTTCCTGACAAACATAATCGACTTGTTGCTTGAAATGTCAATGAATACACAGGATAAAAAGACATTAATATACAATTCCCTACAACAAGTACAAGAGTAACTCATTTGCTGATCTTGCATTATCATCAGTTAATGAATATTAACAATAATAAATTCAGAAATAAAATAAATTAATTTAGTCAATATTTTAAGCTAGCTAGGTAATCCAGTTCACCATGTCAGATATTGCTTTGTATTTATTTCTACCTTGTTCCTAGTTGTTTTATCTCTGAACTTGGGACATGTTTTAATAATCTTTTAATTTTCTTACATATAAAAAAAAAACAAAATTGATATATATATATAGGTTTGAACGTTGTTTTCAATTTAGACTTGTTTATATTTTTTCGTTTGGGCTTGTATTATATTTGCCTTCGGGTTTATATGATCCGTTCATCCTATTTTGACTCCTCAAAATTCAAGAGTCTATCCCAAATTGAGGTAAATTATGTGGCCTTCCAATAACCGTTTTGATTCCTAACATCACTGAAGAGACATTAATTGTCGAAATCCGGATATGGTGTACAAAAAATATTTGCACCTTTGTTTGCGGTATACCATCTTCGCCGCAAGTTTATTGTTTTCTGTTTGGTATTAAATTTAAAGTTAAGATCCATTTATTACACCTTGTGATCCGTTTATTTGGCAATCGCCAATGGCAGTCAGCAGGATTTAAGAACATTTGTTTTTACGACCTGTTAGTCAAATGCGTTTTGTTAAAATATACTTTTTCACTTTTTTGATCTTTTGGAAAATGTTGTTTGTGCTGTATTTAGACCCCTCTAACAAGAAATTTGTTTTTCATGCACACGTATAAAAATTGCGGTTTTTATCCAACGCAATCATAGGTTTGAACGTTGTTTTCAATTTAGACTTGTTTATATATATATATATATATATATGAGGGTTTCTTCCTTACAAATACTTCATATTTCACTGATTCTATGGAATTGAATATTTTTTAGAAGGTCTTGACGACATATCACACTTTTAGTATCTGTAGCGGCATATTTAATGAAATACATTTTACTTTGTGATTGCTATATTTAGAGTATCAGATGAGAGTTGTGGTCTCCTTTTGAAGAAATATGAGGATTCATATGCAGCTATTGTAGACTCCATGGAGGAAAATAATGGTATGAAAGTTTTTATTATTTCTTTTATTCAGTCAGTGAAAAATTTCTTGTTAGTCTCTTTTTTTCTGTTGATTGAAATATGATATACCGGTAATCTACAATAGAACAAGAAAAAGAACAGGTTCACATGACAAAAATGCATGAGTTAATACTGGTTTAAATAGACCTGTGAATACACTTGTAAGCAGTGTCTGAGATAAACATCAGTGATAAAGCAAACAATATTCGAAAATTTATAAAATTTAAAGTTTAAAAAACAATCTTCTAGAATGGTCAAAGTGCTCACACCACATGACACTGATAAGTTCGGAATAAATTCTGCTCAAATGACCATATGTGCCTGACAGCAACTGCATATTTTTCCCACAGCTGATAACTAGGTTCTCAACTTGAGACACCTAAATTGTGATTAAAAGATTTTTAGTTGAAAAGTAAGCTCAAAATTTACTTCATTTGGCCACATTAAGCTGCTAGTTTATTATTTTAAAGGATTTTTGAAGTAGTAATTTATAACTTTAACAAAGAGAGAAGACAATCAAGTTATCAATGAGAGGGGCACTTTTAGATCCCTTTTGGAATGTGTACAATCTGTCTTCATATATTTGTATTGTAGGTTTGAATAATTATGCAGAAGGAGCATTGGCAATATGTAGTCGTTTTAAAAATGGTAAGATTATTATAAATAAGATTCTTCTTACAGCAGAAAAAAATCAGAGAAACAATTATTTATGTTGAACCGCCTTTCTCCTTGTTAATGTTTGTTGGTGGCTTTTATCTTTGCAACAGCTGTGGAATTTGTTAATTCAGTTAAATTCTTAAAGGAAACTGCTTTTATTTCATTGATATTGTTGATTTGACAATGTTGGCATAAAATGACGACATCCTGATACAAATTAAATGCGAACATTTTATATTGATACATTTTATGTAAATACATGTAAATGGTTTTTACATTTTCATAATTTGTAAAGTAATAGTTGATCAACTTGACTTTTTTTAAATTTACACACTGAAATATACCCAAACTAAACCAGCTCTGTTGTTTATCTACAAATGTAAAATAAATATCTGGTTCTTTCAGAAAGTCATAACTGGAAGTCAAGTCTCTCAATGGACAAGATAAAACAGATGGAATGTTACAAAAACATAACAGCAAAGAATAAGGTAATATTTTAGGTTAAGTAAGGTCAGATGGCAGAAGTTTTAAGATTTAAACATTTTCCCGTAGTCATTTACCTACTACATTATTACACTCACTAAAACTTTTAGGTGGCCAAGTGGAAAAGTGGTTCATCTGCTGTATCACTAGCCTGTCGACACTAAGGTTCTGAGTTTGAACCCGGCACATGGCAGATGTATTCAACTCCAATCTTAATTGAAGAGGATTGCCAGTTTTTCTACCAAAGATTGGTTCTCTTCAGGGACTCTGGCTTCACCCACCAATTAAAACTGGCTGCCACAGTATAGCCAATAGTGCATAAAGTTGCATTAAACACCAAAAATTAACCAATTACTAATACATATCATGTGATTGTTTTATATTACTGATTGTTCAGTTGGTGTATGGAGAGGTCAGAGAATTTGGTCTACCTACATGAAAGTCACAAAAGGAGAGATATAGCTATAGGTGTCATATTTTTTATTTCTCTCATTCTGTATGCATTTATACTGGTTCTGACAAGTTTGATGAATTTTGATTAACCACCTGTCATGATTAAGAGAAATAGATTCTACCACTTAAACCTGTTTATTACAAATTGATCCCCTTCGATAATTAAAATTAATTTTTTTTTAGTTATCTTGAATTGATGAATATTGTAATCAACGGGCAGGGGTGTTAGAATCTATGTCTATGAAATATTTGTAAAATCTTTTTGTAAAAGTTGTGTTAATAAATTAAAAAAAAATTGGACTCTTTTTTGCATGTGCATCAGTAAATCTCATTTTCATGGATATGATATTACCCAGACTTCTCTGACATGGTCCATTGACTTAAGAATTTTTGTATTAATGATTAGTTAAAATTATTGTATTCAATTTGTACATCTCAATCCATCAAGGCATGGGATTTTTCACCCCTGACAAACATGCTCCTCTTTTTCCTTCTTAAGCATCCAGCTGCCGAGTGAAAGTTATCTTTATCAATACTTTCTCTATTCAGATGGTTATAGAAGAAGTATAGTCATTTAACTTGATCAGCACACACACTTGAATATTTTGTCATAGCTTTAACACAACTCAGACATGTTTAACATTAAATATCACCAGAAGTATAGCTACTAAATGTCCACTTTATTTTGCAAAAATTTGTCACTCATAGCTTTATAGTTGCATTATATCTTGTTTTTAGCTCACCTGGCCCGAAGGGCCAAGTGAGCTTTTCTCATCACTTGGCGTCCGGCGTCGTCCGGCGTCAGCGTTAACTTCTTCTAGAGAACCACTGAATGGAATGGAACCAAACATGGCATGAATGTTCCTTATGAGGTGCTGACCAAGTGTTGTTACTTTGTAACCGATCCATCATTCAAGATGGCCGCCAGCGGGGGACTTAGTTTAACATAGGACCCTATGGGAAATACATACAAATGTCTTCTTTTAGAGAACCAATGAATGGAATGAAACCAAAAATGGTATGAATGTTCCTTATGAGGTGCTGACCAAGTGTTGTTACTTTGAAGCCGATCCATAATCCAAGATGGCCGCCATCGGGGGACTTAGTTTAACATGGGACCCTATGGGAAATACATACAAATGTCTTCTTTTAGAGAACCACTGAATGGAATGAAACCAAACATGGCAAGAATGTTCCTTATGAGGTGCTGATCAAGTGTTGTTACTATGAAGCCGATCCATAATCCAAGATGGCCGCCTGCAGGGGACTTAGTTTAACATGGGACCCTATGAGAAATACATACAAATGCCTTCTTTTAGAGAACCACTGAATGGAATGAAACCAAACATGCCATGAATGTTCCTTATGAGGTGCTGACCGAGTGTTGTTATTTTGAAGCCTATCCATAATCCAAGATGGCCGCCAGCGGGGGACTTAGTTTAGCATGGGACCCTATGGGAAATACATACAAATGTCTTCTTTTAGAGAACCACTGAATGGAATGAAACCAAACATGGCAAGAATGTTCCTTATGAGGTGCTGATCAAGTGTTGTTACTATGAAGCCGATCCATAATCCAAGATGGCCGCCTGCAGGGGACTTAGTTTAACATGGGACCCTATGAGAAATACATACAAATGCCTTCTTTTAGAGAACCACTGAATGGAATGAAACCAAACATGCCATGAATGTTCCTTATGAGGTGCTGACCGAGTGTTGTTATTTTGAAGCCTATCCATAATCCAAGATGGCCGCCAGCGGGGGACTTAGTTTAACATGGGACCCTATGGGAAATACATACAAACGTCTTCTTTTAGAGAACCACTGAATGGAATGAAACCAAACATGGCAAGAATGTTCCTTATGAGGTGCTGACCAAGTGTTGTTACTTTGAAGCTGATCCATCATCCAAGGTGGCAGCCAGCGGGGGACTTGGTTTAACATAGGACTCTATGGGAAATACATACAAATGTCTTCTTTTAGAGAACCACTGAATAAAATAAATTCAAACATGGCATGAGTGTTTCTTATGAGGTGCTGACCGAGTGTTGTTACTTTGAAGCCGATTCATAATTCAAGATGGCCGCCTGCAGGAGACTTAGTTTAACATGGGACCCTATGAGAAATACATACAAATGTCTTCTTTTAGAGAACCAATGAATGGAATGAAACCAAACATGGCATGAATGTTCTTATGAGGTGCTGACTGAGTGTTGTTATTTTGAAGCCGATCCATAATCCAAGATGGCCGCCAGCGGGGGACTTAGTTTAACATGGGACCCTATGGGAAATACATACAAACGTCTTCTTTTAGAGAACCACTGAATGGAATGAAACCAAACATGGCAAGAATGTTCCTTATGAGGTGCTGACCAAGTGTTGTTACTTTGAAGCTGATTCATCATCCAAGGTGGCAGCCAGCGGGGGACTTGGTTTAACATAGGACTCTATGGGAAATACATACAAATGTCTTCTTTTAGAGAACCACTGAATAAAATAAATTCAAACATGGCATGAGTGTTTCTTATGAGGTGCTGACCGAGTGTTGTTACTTTGAAGCCGATTCATAATTCAAGATGGCCGCCTGCAGGAGACTTAGTTTAACATGGGACCCTATGGGAAATACATACAAACGTCTTCTTTTAGAGAACCACTGAATGGAATGAAACCAAACATGGCAAGAATGTTGCTTATGAGGTGCTGACCAAGTGTTGTTACTTTGAAGCTGATCCATCATCCAAGATGGCAGCCAGCCGGGGACTTAGTTTAACATAGGACCCTATGGGAAATACATACAAATGTCTTCTTTTAGAGAACCACTAAATGCAATGAAACCAAACATGGCATGAATGTTCCTTATGAGGTGCTGACCAAGTGTTGTTACTATGAAGCCGATCCATAATCTAAGATGGCCACCAGCGAAGGACTTAGTTTAACATAGGACCCTACGAGAAATACGTACAAATGTTTTCTTTTAGAGAACCATTGAATGGAATGAAACCAAACATGGCATGCATGTTCCTTACATGATTTCCAAAACCAAAGTAGAATCAGGTGAGCGACACAGGCTCTTGAGAGCCTCTAGTTTATACCTCCACCGCAGAGGAGGGCATTAAGTGTTACCCTTGTCCGTCTGTCCGTATGTGTGTACGTCCTGAAATTGGTTTCCATTCTCTAATTTTAGTTTGCCTCAACCAAATGTTATGAAACTTATACACAATGCATATTACCACAAAACAAGTTTGAATTTGGATGGCGTCACTTTTACCGTTCTTGAGTTATGTCCCTTTATAAGGTTATATGCAAGCGGGGCATCATGTGTGTCCCATGGACACATTCTCCATTTATTTTAATTGTTTTTCAGAAAATATCAGATGAACTTGTTCCTCCACAAATGTTAAACAAAATACTGTCATCTGAATCCAAGGAGGATCCAATACAGGGAACCAGTAATCCAACATTTGTAACAGGGTTTTCAAAAACCGATCAGCAGAATTCAAATCGAGGACCACAATTCAGTCAGAAAATTGAGAGCAGTAATACTGGACAGAAGAATGGATGGAATTTTCACAATAGAAAACCATTATTTTCTGGAGTTCAGCAGTCATCTTCCTCTGATGTCATTCAGCAAAGTAAGTTTATATTGTTTATCTCTATCTCTGTGATAATAAGTGAATTGATGTCAGACATTTTTATTGAAGTACAAAATGTATCAACTTTTCTGCACTGGTTGCTGTGAGTTGAATCCTCAAACAATTTGATTGAAATTTCCACTTTAACCAGGATAGCTTGTTCCAATGTTCTATGCATTGCTATCTTCTCTTCCCTTTAGTTTTTACCTTACATTAGTACTAACGATGAGCAACATGATGGGTGCCACATAAGAAGCAGGGTCTGTTTACTCTTCCAGAGCACCTAATTCCTCACAAAGGGCATTTTCTGTGACATCACAATTGCATTTTAAGTTTTGTATTACCTCAATTTTAAAACAGATATAAACAAAAATCAAAAGTCAAAATTTTGTTTAAAATTAGGGAAAAAAAGACCCTTATCAATCTTGTCCTTATATTTAAAAAAAAAATAACATTCCAAAAAAAATTTTGAAGAAATAAATGAGTAATTTGATTAAGCCCATTACATTATATTCAAATGTTTCAGTGCTAATTTGAATTCTATTTCCTAAAACTAGTAATTATATTCTTGTATATTACACAGATTCTGCCAGACCAAGTTATAGTGGGAGTTATCAGAGAAAAAATGAGGTAAAATACATTTTATAAGTTATAAGGTGTCCTGCATTTTTATTATACCCCGCTTTAAAAAAGGTGGGGGTATGCTGTTTTACCCCTGTCTGTCCTTCTGTCAGTCCATCCGTCAGTCCGTCCATCCCATGAATATTTTCGTCGCATTTTTCTCAGTAACTACTTGACAAGGATTTCTGAAATTTGGTTTCAGGGTTTATATAAGTAAGTTACACTGTGTGATGCGTTTTCAGATTCATCACTCAACAGCTTCCTGTTTACCGAACACTTGTATTATTTTACACATGATAGCCAAGTTGAAAATTTTCGTCACATTTTTCTCAGGAACTACTTGACAAGAATTTCTGAAATTTGATTTCAGGGTTTTTATAAGTAAGTTACACCCTGTGATGCGTTTTCAGATTCATCACTCAAAAACTTCCTGTTTACCGAAATATTTCAGTGGGGGTATCATCAGTGTTACTTCTTGTAACTACATTTATAATGGTCCATCTCAGATTTAATATTAGAAAATATTTATCTAATCCAATGTCATTGCTTTACATCAATCTATAATCATAGTTTAAACATTGGTTATTTTAATGTTCACATCAAACACTCTTTTCAATAATCTTACTTGGTAAGGATGATGTATGGAAAATTATGATTTCCTTATTTTATCATTCTGTAAAATCCTACCACTAGAGGCAACCAAATGTAGTACTTTCTTTTCCTTAAAAGAAATTTACCATTTTTCCCTTTCCATCCATCTGTTGATCCCAAAGTTTGTCACTGCAAAATCTTTTATTGTTTATAAAGGAATGGTTAGAAACTTGACAGAATAACACATGGTCTTAGCTGTAGGATTTTTTGTTTACTACAAGTCACAGCCGTGAAGGATATAATTCATTCACCTCCCCCAACTGTTTCCAAAAAGTTTCTATACTCATTAGGATTGTTTATTGCACTTGAAACTATATAGGATATTTACTACATTGGGCTTTTGTTAGTAATTGCATAGTTCAATAAAATGCTTTGTTATTAAAAAATCATATTCCCCATCCAACTAGAGTATAGAACAAAATGGAGCTGTTTTGTAACATATAATTTTTCATTTTAGTATTTTGAGTGGAATGGTTCAGATATTTTTGTATAATCCAACTCAAAGAACAGGGGGGTTTATTGCATTCATCTTGTCAGCTCCTAAAGATATTTCTGTCACATTTTTCTCAAGAACTACTTAACAGAATGACTTCATCTTTAGTCAACAGCTTGACCATGATGAGTTGTAATGTGTGACCACTTTACAGATGTGTCATGCACCTACTTCTTCTTTGCCTATATTTTGATTTTGTTCAATGTGCTTAAGGAATTTATTTTTGGTCACACATTTCTCCAGCACCACTAAACAGAATGACTTCATATTTGGCCAACAGCTTGGTATTAATGAGTTGTAATGTTTGGGTGCTTTTCAGATCTGTAAGACACCCACTTCCTGTTAAACGATTCATATGTGTGTGGTGGTATGCCGAGAATGACAACATGTGCATTCTTGTATAAAGTTGATGTTCATAGTTGCTTAGACAATAGAAAGGAGGAGACATTTTTGTGGTAAAAAGAAAATAAAATTTTCAAATGATCTTTCAACTGATACTGCAAAGATGAAACCTTTGAAATTTTTCTTAATCTATATTATTTACTTTTTCTATTGATAGAACTTTTCGAGTGGAATAAAACGTCCACTGAACAATGAAGATCAAGAAGATGAAGACAATACAAGAGATAATCCTGTAGGAGGAGGGTTCAATGTGTTTAAAACTGCCAAGGAACAATTGGTAAATAATATACTAAATACACTATACATACTTTTCTATGTGTTCAAACCTCTTCAAAAGGAGCAAAAAATCACAGTATAGGTATATTCAGCATCATTGATCACAAATGACCACAAATAATTGATTCAGATTCTATGTCAAATTTTGAGGCAGAATTACTATTTATTCATGAGATATTTCATTTATGTGAAAAAAAATTAATTCTATTTTATGGTTAAAACCTTTTGTTTAAAATACAAAAAAAATCTGATAAATTCAAAAACTTAAAACTTTACATTATAAGGGGAGCTACTCTAATAATTTATTGTTGTAATAGAATTATACATTTTGTTAAACAGCAAGAACCTTGTTATTTTATTAGCCCCTGATAGCAAGGGGCTTATTGTTTTCTGGTCTCTGTGTCTGTCCACTAGTCCTTTAATTTTTCAGTTCGTTTTTCATTTGTTTGTCAGTCCCCTATAGGTTAAAGTTTTGATTTAGCGTCAATTTAGATTTTTCACCCAGATGTGGCAATTCAATGATAGTGAGAGCTGGGCATGGTGTCCTATGGACATTTTCGTGTTTAAATTCTGAGATATGTATGACATAATTTGATTCAGTTTAAATTTGAATTTGGCATGAATTTTGTTGTTTTTCAGTCATTCATCAAAATTATTTTGGTACAAAACATCTTTCATGTTGCTAGTTCAGTGTAAACGTTAAAGAGACACTCACCCAAACACACAAAAAACCAAAAGACATCTAGAAGTCAATATACTGTCTTCTTGAAATAAAGCAGTGTATTTACCATTTCTCAATCTCTAAATTTCCCAAAGTCTAGAAAAGTTGTGAATAGAACAGAAACTAACAACAGTAAATGACAAAAAAACATTAAGATATAACTAAAGAAGGCCACAGTTGAGATGCCTTTTCATACTCACTAGCAATTTGATTTTTCTTATCAGATTTATATTTGTTTTTTTGTATTTGCATAGTTTTTTGTCGAGCCTGCAACTTTTGTCGCAGAAAGCTCGACATAGGGATAGCGATCCGGCGGCGGCGGCAGCGGCGGCGTTAGCTAACTTCTTAAAAGCTTTATATTTTAGAAGGTGGAAGGTCTGGATGCTTCATACTTTGTATATGGATGCCTCATGTTACGAAGTTTCCGTCAGTCACATGTCCAATGTCCTTGACCTCATTTTCATGGTTCAGTGACTACTTAAAAAAAAAGTTAACATTTTTTGTAATGTTAGATTCTCTCTTATTATAAGTAATAAGATAACTATATTTGGTATGTGCGTACCTTGCAAGGTCCTCATGCCCGTCAGATAGTTTTCACTTGACCTCGACCTCATTTCATGGATCAGTGAACAAGGTTAAGTTTTGGTGGTCAAGTCCATATCTCAGATACTATAAGCAATAGGTCTAGTATATTCGGTGTATGGAAGGACTGTAAGGTGTACATGTCCAACTGGCAGGTGTCATCTGACCTTGACCTCATTTTCATGGTTCAGTGGTTATAGTTAAGTTTTTGTGTTTTGGTCTGTTTTTCTTATACTGTATGCCATAGGCCTACTATATTTGGTGTATGGAATGATTGTAAGGTGTACATGTCTAGCGGGCAGGTGTCATCTGACCTTGACCTCATTTTCATTGTTCAGTGGTCAAAGTTAAGTTTTTGAGTTTTGGTCTTTTTTTCTAATACTATGTGCAATAGTTCAACTATATTTGGTATGTGCGTACCTTGCAAGGTCCTCATGCCCGTCAGACAGTTTTCACTTGACCTCTACCTCATTTCATGGATCAGTGAACAAGGTTAAGTTTTGGTGGTCAAGTCCATATCTCAGATACTATAAGCAATAGGTCTAGTATATTCGGTTATGGAAGGACTGTAAGGTGTACATGTCCAACTGGCAGGTGTCATCTGACCTTGACCTCATTTTCATGGTTCAGTGGTTATAGTTAAGTTTTTGTGTTTTGGTCTGTTTTTTCTTATACTATATGCAATAGTTCAACTATATTTGGTGTATGGAAATATTTTATGATCTATTTGGCAGTCACGCAGGTTTTATTTGACCTTGACCTCATTTTCAAGGTTCATTGCTCAGTGTTAAGTTTTTGTGTTTTGGTCGGTTTTTCTTAAACTATAAGCAATAGGTCAACTCTATTTGTTGTATAGAAGAATTGTTAGCTGTACATGCCTGCCTAGCATGGTTCATCTGACCTTGACCTCATTTTCATGGTTCATTGGTCAATGTTTAGTTTACTTGGTTAATGTTAAGTTTATGTGACAGTTGTAATAAAGCTTTATATTTAGGACTATCAACATAATATCAATGATTAGTAAAGAAGGCGAGACATTTCAGCGTGTGCACTCTTGTTTTCATAGTGTATAGGCTACCAGAGTTTAACATATTTACTTTCAGGCTATTGATAATCAGAAAAAGTTTGGTCGAGGGAAAGGATCAGTTGGTTCATCATCATATGGTAATGCTAAAAAATCTCTAGGAAGTACTAGGTAAGTATTATTCTTATTACTTTCTTTTACATTTTGTATATTGAATATAGAGGTAATGAAGATTTTTATGCCCCACCTAGGATAGTAGTAGGTGCATTATGTTTTCTGGTCTGTGCGTCCGTCTGTCTGTCCGCCTGTCTCTCCCGCTTCAGGTTTAAGTTTTTGGTCATGGTAGTTTTTGATGAAGTTGAAGTCCAATCAACTTGAAACTTTGTACACATCTTCCCTATGATATTATCTTTCTAATTTTAATGCCAAATTAGAGTTTTGACCCCAATTTCACGGTCCACTGAACAAAGAAAATGATAGTGCGAGTGGGGCATCCGTGTACTATGGACACATTCTTGTTTTCCAAATTTCTATAACCAATTGTTGATGTTGAAATTAATGGAAAATTTAAATTGTTCCTCATATTCGGATTTTGCTATGACATATAGTTGAACTTTTTATAGAATTTCTTTATTCCAGGAGAGGATTAAACAGTAAGTTCATTCCTCCTGTTGCTAACAGAGAAGAAGAGGAAGATAGGTATTTCTATTAAGAACAATAGTTATTACATCAAAACAAAATATATCATGTATATGTAGCAAAATAGTTATTAGAATAAAATTAGGGCCTTGGTGTTTGAGTGGTTAAAGTAGTTGATCTACTGGGATCACCATCCTGTCAACACTGAGGCTGTCAGTTTGAACCCCACTTGTGGCTGGTGCATTTGACTGCTATATTGAGGATACTACGGCTTCCTCTACCAATAGAAACTGGCCACAACGATAAGGCAAGTCAGCTGAAAGTGGTGTTAAGCACCATCAATCAATCAAATTCAATCATGGAATAAAATTTTAAAAATTGGAAATCGATAGCAGGTACAGTCATCAAGAAAAAGACAAAATTATAACATAAGAAGAGCAGCCTTAAATATGGAACTTTGACTTTGTCAAGTATTCTTGAAAATTTCTTGTTCATAGTGATCCTCTTGTCGATTGTTCTGTCACAACAACCATCAGTATATTTCTTGAAGATAATGATAGTGTTTCTCAATCAAATGCTTTACATGTTCTACATGCTGCTATGGATAGAAGTCCTGTTCAGTTTTCATTATTTAAACTTTAACTTGCTGCAGAGTTATTACCCGTCACTAGAAGTGTTCATGAAAACTGATGTTTACAGATGATTAGAAAAATACTGCCAGGACAAATGATTTCAGAGATAAACAAAAGAGATTTCAGGAAAACATAAGTGCTACTGTTTGTGGGATACCAATATTTCTAGATTTTGTAGATAAAGGTTAACCATGAATTTAATTGTTGAAGGAAGTACAATTTTACTATAGGTTTGTTTGTAGATTGAAGCAAAACCACAAAATCAAATATCCACAAAATTATGAGTTTTCCTCAATCCATGAAATAAATGAATCCACAGTATTGTAACACATGGTCTTATTTTTTGTTCAAAATTATTTTGTAGTGTTACTATGAATGCTGTAACTAAGTCTGTATTTGGTGGAGGGAAACCTTCAGGATCTAACAACACTGAGGAACCTACTGATGAAAGATTAAAGGGAATAGAACCTAAAATGATAGAACTTGTCATGAATGAGGTATGATTTGAAAGAAGGATTGTTACAAGTTGAGATTTTTAAGCATTGTTTCTATTCAATATTTCATTACTTACTCATGATCAACAGATGATTAGTTCGGTTTATTTTTTTACAAATAATGAAAGAGATTTATAATTTAATTCTTTTCATTGAAAATATCTTTAGAAATGACATAATTAATTTAATGATATTGAACTTTGTACTTGACGTTTAATAGCATTAGTATGTTGTTGTCTTTATACCATTGCAGATCTATTTTTGGCAGAAATGTTAAGAGTATTTTTGATGAAACAGGTATCCATATTCCCAAATTTTGAAAAAAAATGGCCTGTGATTAAAAATAGATGAGGACAGCTCCAAATGCCATAGTCTTCATAACAAATTATGCAAAGTCTGTTTAAGAAATACAGTTGACTCTCATTATCTTGAAATCTATGAGAATTTGATAAAATTTTGACTAAACCCGTTTGACTCTTTGTAAGCTAACATGAAATCCATCAAGGGAGACAACTCAAATTGCCAATACAGTCTGTCTTTGGAACATTAGAAAGTGAAAATATGATGGTATTAGTTTGTTTGAACACTCTATGATTTCTACTGACCCAAGCATAACATTATGCACATGACCTTTCTTCACATCTGATAGCATAATAATTAAGACAATGAATTTTATGCTATAAACCATCTCATATCTAATTCAAAATGCAATAGGTAGATAATAAACTTGTCCAACTATCTTATTTTCCCCAAAATTATGGATTATTAGATGCAGTTGTAAATAAAAGGGATAAAGACATTTATTCCATCATCTATTTTTTAGAAAAAATTCAGAACCAGGTTTTAATAAATTTACATTTATGGGGCTACTCTATCAAGTAAGTATCTAATTGGTTTTAGCCTAGCTTAGGCTCATTGTTTCTTTATTTGTAAAATTAAAAGTTGAAATATTCTCTTTCAAACTTTTTTATTTAAATTTGAAAAATGCTTCTTTTTGGGATTCTGTCAAAGTTTTTTGACTTTATTACTTCAAAAGTTTTCATTTTAATTTTTATGCCCCACTTAGGGGCATTATGTTTTTCGGTCTGTGCGTCCGGTCGTTTGTTCGTTAGTCTGTTCATCCGTCTGTCCCGCTTCAGGTTAAAGTTTTTGGTCAAGGTAGTTTTTGATGAAGTTGAAGTCCAATCAACTTGAAACTTAGTACACATGTTCCCTATGATATGATGTCTCTAATGTTAATGCCAAATTAGAGTTTTGGCCCGAATTTCACGGTCCACTGAACATAGAAAATGATAGTGTGAGTGGGGCATCCGTGTACTATGGACACATTCTTGTTTATTGTCATTTCTTCTTGAATATAGTATAGTAAACTATGCATTACATTAAATCTATATCCCCCTGGCCCCCCTAAATCCGCCTCTGAAATCTTTCAATATGGTTTATTTGATAGATAATGGATCATGGACCCCAGATGGTTTGGGATGATGTTGCTGGTCTAGAATTTGCCAAAAAAACAATAAAAGAAATTGTAGTGTGGCCAATGTTAAGACCGTATGTATTTTGACTTAAATTAAATATTATTTTTTTTACTCGTAAGAAATTGATAGATTTTTAATTTGGTCTTGTTCATGAAAAAGTCATAGACATGCACATTTGCATCTCACAGGTTTCATTAATTCTTTGAATAATGAATCTATAATTTTGTTAGAAAAGAAAAAAAATGTAAAAAAGTGTTTATTTCAATATCTAAAGGAAGCAACAATTCAACCAATCAATTAATCGATATCAAAGTTATCATAATATGTTGAAAGTGAAAATGTATTACTAAAATATCTTTTCTTCTGTAGGGACATTTTTACAGGTCTTAGAGGCCCACCTAAAGGTCTCCTGTTGTTTGGTCCTCCAGGGACAGGAAAAACGCTCATTGGCAAGTTATGAAGATATTTTGCATTCCCTTCCATTACTTAGAGCTAATTTCCTAATGTTGGTTGAGTAAGACTTTGGTTTGCATGCTTGCTTTGTTTGTATAAACATTTGCTCAAGCATTGTAATTAAGATTGACACCTGTTAGCAATATAAATAGGCGGAGTTAAACCTGTATTATACATTAAACTTTAGTGACACTCATATAAATCACACTTTGTTTTTTTATCTACAATTGGTATTGTTTATATTACTGTAAATTCATTCAGAAATTAGTTTGTGCATTTTAATGCCCCCTTTTAAAATTTTCTTGTATTAGAGAAAACCAACATTCAATTTTCAACAGATTCACAGATGATAGCCACTCTTTATTGCACGATGTGTTTAGAGCATTCTGGAAAGTTCTATAAGAGTTTGGTTTCAATTTAATTTTCAGCCCCTGCTGAGTGCCGCGGGCAATAAGTTTAACCCCAGTCCTTGCATCTTGTCTGTAAGTCCCAAAATTGATTTCCCTTCTCTAACTATACTTTGCCACAACCAAAAGTTCTGAAACTTATATACAATGCTTATAACTACAAAACACAGATCAAGTTCGAATTTGGGTGGTGTCACTTTCTCCATTCTTGTGTTATGACCCTTTATAAATGGAAAAATTAGTGAATTTGCCGTTTCCCCACTCTTACTTTACTTTGCCTCTACCAAATGTTATGAAACACATACACAATGCTTATTACCATCAAACACAGATCAAGTTCAAAGTTGGGCTGTGTAACTTACACTGTTGTCGAGTTACCCCATTACTGTTTGTTAATGAACAAGGAGAGCACTCAAACACCCAAGCAATCTCTAATGACAACATACAGAAACAAATGTTAAATTCAAGGAAAACAAAATGTCAACAGGTATGAATTAGTACATTAACCTTGCATATTTACATGTGGGGCACCTGTGTCCCATGGACACATTCTTTTTTATTTCTTATCTTTCAAAGTATGTTCTTAAATACCATGTTGTAATAAAACATTACAAATGTAAATTTAAATTTAAGTTTACAACAGTTTGATAAGTGTCCTGTTCTATGGTGGCCTTGGGCTGTTTTCTGCTCTTTGGTCTGGTTGTTGTCTCTTTGACACGTTTCCCGTTTCCATTCTCAATTTTATCAATCAGAATAATTAAAACATCACAAAAATTTCTGAATATACAGTATACCCAATACAAGTAAGCCACCAATAATGAATGAATTTTTTTTTTTTTTAATTAAAAATAATGAAGTAGTATACATAAAGTGTGAAAAAATATTCTTACCTCATCAATTAAGACTTCTTTTACACTTTAGTCGTGTAAGCTTAAAAAAAAGAGTTCAAAATTGGCAATCATCGCAAAAATCAACTAATCAAGAGTCATGCTAACTAAAGATCATCCTCAAATTCGCAGTTCAGTGAAGCTTTAATAAAATAATCAATATAGGTGTTGAAATGTACCATATTCCTGAAAACATTGGATTATGTAAAACTGTTCTAATGTATAAATATATCTAACTTTATAGATATTTAATAACTAATATATAGGGATACCTAATTGAAGCTGTAGATTAAGTAAATTGTTTTAAACAGTAAAGGTGCAATAAAATTGATTTTATTTTTCAGAGTGAAATTCAGATTATGCTAAAAACCAAAATAAGTAAATCATAATTTTTGGAGAATTTAATGTTGGAATTTAGAGTAGTTGAAGCTGGGTGAATATAAATGTTGAATTGCTTCTGTTTCATGATTTAAATTTAAGAAAGTATATGTTTATAATTTCAGGAAAATGTATAGCAAGTCAGTCTAAGTCTACCTTCTTCAGTATTAGTGCTTCTTCACTCACCTCAAAATGGGTAAGAATATTTTTGAAATATTATGTAATATCAAACTTATAATTATTTTACCAGAACAGCAAAGAACACCTTTTTCAGGGGTGGGGGAGGGCACTTCCTATATACAAGGTGATAGGACGTGCCACTGGAATAGGTCACATTTTATATATGTGAATAGGTGGGGAAAACTATCAGAAATATATGATAAGGCCAATAAAGTTTTCATTACTTGTTATATGAAAAACCCTGTAACTTTCTTGGTGTTATGGCTTTGCTTTTATCCACTAATTTTCCCTCTTTTGACACTTTGGTATTCCACTTTTCCAACACATCACACATGAAACCCAACCAATATGGGAAAAGGTTACATATTTACCTACACAATATATGAAAAGGTATTTTTTAAAAAACTAAATTATATGAAAAGGGTGGAGTAACAGAACCCCAGCGGCACCCCCTATCAATTAAGTATTGAAGTGCCCCCCCCCCCCCTAAGAAAATAAAAAACAATCAGAAATACAGGTCTGTATATTCTTGAGTATAAACCAATCTGCTTACAGGTTAGTTGATGTTTTGATGTTAGGAATCCAAGAATTTAGCCTTGACCCTCCTATATATATATATATATATATATAGAATACATGTATGTAATGGCATTTTTGTTTTGATACTGAATTTATTAGCAAGAATATCAAGTAAGCCCACTAGGGTGAGCTGATGTTCTAGCTGATGAAGTCAGTATAAAAGAATACATACCTATAACTGAGCCGTATTCTGCGGGTGTTATCCGTAAATTTCATCTCTCACCAGGGATTTTTTAAATACCTGACGTATTGTTAAATTTGGGTTACTTCCCCTTTTTTGTCACTTTTCACAGTATACTCCTTAAAATAATGTTGTTTTTTTTTTTGTAAAATTATTAAATCTCAGGCAAATTGAATGCAAATACATATCAGAATATTACTTTAAATGATTTTTTCTATCTTGGAACAATTTAAAATTTAAAATTTGAAAATTATTTTTTTTCATCTCTACTTCCTTTAAATATTAATATTTTAAAGTATATATTCTATTATCAACTGCAAATAAACATGGACCAACTGTGCGAGGGCTGAACAGCCAGTCAAGGTCGTTAAACACTTCCAGTAGTAGTAATAAACATGGGTAGTCAAGGTCATTATAAACCCTCCTTGTTGTTAATATACCTTCCTATGGAGTATTAAGTAAAGCTATATATAATGATTGCTATATTATTTGCCTTAATATATTGTGAAACTTGTGGCTTGTTGGTTGATTTAAAACTATTAAGGAAACACAATAAGAGGTTTGAATTGATATAGTATAATACATTAATATTTCAATGGTTTATAAATGCAATGAAAAAATAAAAAGTTTTAAAAAAATCAGTTAATACTTAACCATGTGAACATGTTTTGGAAACTGTTTGATTTGAAATATAAAAAATGTCCCCTAAATACTTAAATTCAGCTGAAAAAAGTTTGTACGCGTTGTGACCTGAGATTTTCTTCTTCAATGCAGGTCATGACCTGCCTTTTCATTTTCATAGGCTGACAGGTATGAAGAATATCAGATTCTATGTTAAGATGGTGAGAGCTCAGCAGTGGCAAAGGTACAACAGCCACCTGTAATATTTTAGACTGTCTAATGCAAGAAGGTGAAAGATTTGCTTGTAAAAGACAGGGTACACTAACCAGTTGTACTGTTTATAGGTTGTCTTATTTTAGATTTTTTGGCCCAAGTACTTAGGTAAATTTTATATAAATTGTCTGTCTATGTTCTTAGGTAGGAGAAGGGGAGAAGATGGTGAGAGCTTTGTTTGCAGTAGCCAGAGTACATCAACCAGCTGTGGTATTTATTGATGAAATAGATTCTTTATTATCCCAGAGATCTGATGGAGAACATGAAGCTTCCAGAAGAATTAAAACTGAATTCCTTGTTCAATTGGTAAAGTATTATTGTGTTGCTTGCTATTACTTTTCTGACAATGAGGCAAACAGTTTTGAAAGTGGCCAATACTTATTTGCAAAAACAATAATAATTTATCCTTACTCCCTATTCTTACTGAGAGTAAAAAAATATTTTTGGAGTTTGTATTTTGTGATGAGACCTTGTCATCCATTGTTTGTTACCTGACCTTAAAAGGTCACATATAATATAGACAAAATAAAATGGGTATTTCAATTTTAATTTTTTTAACAAATTTTGAAGACTAGGAATTTTAAGAGTTTGCTATAGAGTGTTGGGACTTTCCATTTTATAATCATCCCTTCATTTCGGTTTCAATGCTCCGAGTTTTAGGCTTCACAATTTAGTCTTGCTTCCGCAATGATGGACTTTTCCACTGTTCAAATAATAAGTTTATAAAAGTTGATATAAGTTGTCAGGTGTGCTTTTAAAGTAGTACCAATTGATGGTTAGAATTTTATTTTACTAAAAAAATCTTGTCCATTTATAATTAGCAGCCTTTTCATTGATTTGATAAATTCATAAAAAAAGTCAAAAATAGAAGGTTTTTAGTGATCTATCTATTTACTATGCTTAAAAATGATTAGGGAAAAAACCAACCTTTCATCTATGAATTAAAAAAAGTTCCCTTCAATATCAATTTTATAAAAAAAATTAAATTTTATACTTTTTAATATCTTAAACTATTGTAGGATGGTGCTGCTACTCTTTCAGAAGACAGGATACTTGTGATAGGTGCCACTAACAGGTAAGAAATATGCATCAGTGTTAAAACAAGTTGGTAGTGGGTCTTTGAATTACACATTGTTTATGGGACTTATTTATCTGGCATTATGTAAAGTTTAAAAAACAACTATTGTCTTCAGTCATTGTTCTTGTTGTGAGTCGTAGTTTCACATGTGCTGTTTGCAATGATTTCGTTGGCTGCACCTGAAATTAATATCAAAAAGTGTTTGCATCCCCAGTGTGTATATTCAAACAATTCTAGAGTCTGAATGTTGTGAAGTAAAAGATGTAAGAGTTGATTTCATGAGGGATGTTGCTGAAAAAAGTTTCACCATTTGGAAATGCTGCAAATGTGTACATAACGTAAGATGTATATCTTCAATGTATATCCAAACATTCTAGAAAATTTGAAGGCGCTGGATTGAAAAGTGTAGGAAAATTTAGTATGCACAAATCAGGTACCATGTCTTTTCTGCCCATCAGACATTGAGCAATCTATAATCCAAATTTGACTTCTTTGTTTAAAGGTCTGAAATGTATTCACTGAGTATCCTGAAAAATAAACTTGGACATTAAACTTCAGATTTAAGTCAATGAAGTGTCATATGTAGGTCAGAATGTCCAAACTGGAATACCTTTTCTGAACACAGTTTCATCTCAAATGTTGTCTAGTGTTTTAGAATTATGTTTCAAGTACATGCACCAATGTATGTTTACATTTCTGGAGAATTGTTGTTTATTATAAGTAATATCTCAAATGGAAACTGCAGTTTTCCCTTAAGCATATAAAATACTTATCAACTGCTATGGGTTTTTTGTCGAGCCTGTGACTTGTTGCAGAAAGCTTGACATAGGGATAGTGATCCGGCGGCGGCGTTAACTAACTTCCTAAAAGCTTAATATTTCAGAAAGTAGAAGATCTAGATGCTTCATACTTTGTATATAGATGCCTTATGATATGAAGTTTCTGTCTGTCATATGTCCATTATCCTTGACCTCATTTTCATGGTTCAGTGACTACTTGAAATTTTTTTTTAGATTTTTTGTTATGTTAATTCTCTCTTATTATGAGTAATAGGATAACAATATTTGATATGTGCGTACCTTGCAATGTCCTCATGTCTGTCAGACAGATTCACTTGACCTCGACCTCATTTCATGGATCAGTGAACAAGGTTAAGTTTTCATGGCCAAGTCCATATCTCAGATACTATAAGAAATAGGTCTACTATATTTGGTGTATGTAATGATTGTAAGGTGTACATGTCCAACTGGCAGGTGTCATCTGACCTTGACCTCATTTTCATGGTTCAGATGTAATAGTTTAGTTTTTGTGTTTTAGTCTGTTTTTCTAATACTGTATGCAGTAGGTCGACTATATTTGGTGTATGGAAATATTTTAGAACATATGTCAGTCTGGCAGGTTTTATTTGACCTTGACTTCATTTTCACAGTTCATTGCACAAAGTTAAGTTTTTGTGTTTTGGTCTGTTTTTCTAATACTGTATGCAGTAGGTCAACTATATTTGGTGTATTGAAATATTTTACGATGTACATGTCAGTCTGGCAGATTTTATTTGACCTTGAGCTCATTTTCATGGTTCATTGCTCAATGTTAAGTTTTTGTGTTTTGGTCCATTTTCTAATACTGTATGCAGTAAGTCAAATATATTTGGTGTATGGAAATTTTTTAAGATGTACATGTCAGTCTGGCAGGTTTTATTTGACCGTGACCGCATTTTCACAGTTCACTGCTCAATGTTAAGTTTTTGTGTTTTGGCATGTTTGGTCTGTTTTTCTAATGCTGTATGCAGTAGGTCAACATTTGGTGTATGGAAATATTTTACGATGTACATGTCAGTCTGGCAGGTTTTATTTGACTTTGACCTCATTTTCATGGTTCATTGCTTATGTTAAGTTTTTTTGTTTTGGTCTATTTTTCTTAAACTTTAAGCAATAGTTCAACTATATTTGGGGTATGGCATGATTGTTAGGTGTATATGTCTGTCTGGCAGGTATCATCTGACATTCACCTCATTTTCATGGTTCATTGGTCAATGTTCAGTTGTCCTGGTTTACTTTGTTTCTTAGATACTATAAGCAATAGGTCAACTATATTTGATGCATGGAATGATTTTAAGGTGAACATGTCTGTCTGGCAGGGTTCATCTGACCTTGACTTCATTTTCATGGTTCAGTGGTCAATATAGAATTTCCATGGTTTGGTCTGTTTCTTTTATACTATAAGCAATAGGTCATCTATATTCTGTGTATGGAATAATTGTATTAAAGGTGTACATGTAATTCTGCCTTGGTTTATCTGACCTTCATCTCATTTTCTTGGATCAAAAATGTTAATGTGATACTTGTAGTAAAACTTTACATGTAGGACTATCAACATAAAATCAATGGTCAGTATAGTAGGCGAGACATTTCAGCGTGTGCACTCTTGTTTAATTTGGGAATAAACATTTCATAAGAAATTATACTGCTATAAAAGTCAGAATTATTATTTTGAATTAAAAAGTAATATAGTTCTGTGATGTTATTATGTTGTAACCATTTCTTAAAAATCCTGGGAATGGAAGTACTATATATATAGAATGCTCAGATATTTTATGAATTATAAGTTCTGGATTTCATAAGTAAAATATACGAATTGTTGAAGAATTATCATACAGGTTATTGAGAATTGACAAATGAATTAATTGCAATTTGAGGAGAGACCCCAGAGAATAGTAAGTTACAAAAAACACACCATCAGTACTTTTATATCCTAGATTCATAATCCAAACATTTGTTTATTATAACTTATGAAATTTAATAAAGTGTATTGTTTACGGAACATTTGTTATTTCTAAATGTGTTTTAGGCCTCAGGAAATAGACGAAGCAGCTAGACGTAGATTTGTAAAACGTTTGTACATCCCATTACCAGAGAATGCAGCCAGGAAACAGATTGTAGTTAATTTGTTGTCACAACAGAAGTATCATCTATCTGATCAGGAACTAGATTTTATCTGTCAGAAAACTGATGGTTTGTTATTAAATATTTATATGCTTATCAATTAAACTGGTCAGTAAAATGAATACATCTGTGTATCATTGTTTATATTGAACATTCATTCCATTAAATGTTTTTTTTCTAATTTGAATATTCACAGAACTTCACATCCTGTTAAAAACTATGTAAATGGAAATTTTTTTAATTTTCGGTATTTGTAAAACAAGTTTCAAGTTAATACTTGATTAAAATTTCATTCATTCCTCGGAGAGGCAACATATGGGAATAACCTATAGCTAGTAACATTTTTTTCATTTTGTACTACATTGTTCTATAAGGGAATCTTTAAATGAACAAAGCTATAGCATCAGGGGAGACAATATTAAACACATTATTTTCAATTATGGTTTTTTTTCATAAGATTGAACAGGAAACAGTTAATCTTTAATGGAAGGAAATGTAAACTATTAAATTGCCAAGTTGTAATTTTCATAGTCCTCTTGGTTAGGAGAAGTTTAAAATTTACTTTATATTGTATTTCTCAATAACCAAAAGCAGGATTTTATTTTCTAAAAAGTTTTTATATCTTTTTTTCTTCTTCTTTCTTTCTTTTTTTGTTTGGTTGTATGATATATTAAGATTTGAAGAATTTTAAGCTTATAATGAATAAGTTTAGCATTAAAACTGTTATCTTAACAGAAGCAAAATCATTTTTTGTTGTTGTTAAACTTACTCATATATCCTTTTAGTCAATTTGACTTTCATTGAGATATGAATTTAATAAATATTGAATGATTTTCATAAAAAATATTAGCATAAGATATTTAAAGATCAAGAAAAAAAGAAGTTGAGACTCAGACACAATTGACTAGGTTGAACTGATAATACATCTACTCTAAAAAGTAGTTGAGTCTTTTATTAGTAATTGTCTTTTGTTATATTTTGATGTGTTGACCTTTTTGGGACTTTGCTGTTTTTTTGGCCCGAGAACACAGTTATTTCGTAGTGCATTTCTTTTTGACAATAAAGTCAAATTAAAAAAATCACACCTGCTCTATCTCAAAAAGATTTTTACAGTGTAGTGTACTACTATTAGGACAAATAATATCAAAATTATAGAAAAATCTACCAGCTCTAACTCAAAATATTGACAATTCTATGTAAAGGGGGTCTAAAATTCAGTTTGACAGCTTCAGACATACTAGTTTTTGACCTTTTTTTACTGGACCAAATCACTACTTAACATAAAGATTCAGGAACCAAATTTTTTAACATGTAATTTCATCCCCTTACTTAATATTTCATGCATAAAATATAAAGAAATAAATTTGGAAAGTGTATGAAAAAAATTTGCAAGTTATACACTGTCCACACTAGGGACTATATTTGTAGACAACGAAATTCTAAGGACGATAACTGTGTCCTCGGACCTTTTGACAGACAATTTATAATCACTGTAAAAAAAAAATTTTTTGCTTAAAGGCAAATTAGAGTTTTAACATATTGTATGTACACTAGTTTATTGTTCAAGACCATATCTTTAAATCTAGTTTATTGGGAACCACTAGTGGTAGGTTAATGATATTTGGTATGCAGCTGTATTGGTATTGGCACATCTCATTTTCATGGAGATTATTTGGCCTGCCCCCTCCTCCTGGCTCATTGAATTTGAAAATTTTGCATTGTTTACATGTTCAAAGTATCTGTTCAAATCATTTTATATGAAACGACTTATGATAAGTCAATGGTATTTGATTTGTAGTTGTATTAGCACAACTGCTGATACTATAAATAGACATAAGGCACTAAAATAAAAAAAAATTGCAAGTCATAATTCAATAAGAGTTTAAATGCAACTCAGCTTATGAGAAATTAAACATATTAAAACAATAAGAATTGTGAATTATGTAAAGAAAAGCAAGTGGAGTCCAAATTGCTCTGGAGCTGACATTGCTTATGTTTAGGTTACTCAGGAGCTGACATGGATAATCTATGTAGATTTATGTTTTAGGTTACTCAGGAGCTGACATGGCTAATCTATGTAGATTTATGTTTTAGGTTACTCTGGAGCTGACATGGCTAATCTATGTAGATTTATGTTTAAGGTTACTCTGGAGCTGACATGGCTAATCTATGTAGATTTATGTTTTAGGTTACTCTGGAGCTGACATGGCTAATCTATGTAGATTTATGTTTTAGGTTACTCAGGAGCTGACATGGCTAATCTATGTAGATGTATGTTTTAGGTTACTCTGGAGCTGACATGTCTAATCTATGTAGATGTTTGTTTTAGGTTACTCTGGAGCTGACATGGCTAATCTATGTAGATTTATGTTTAAGGTTACTCTGGAGCTGACATGGCTAATCTATGAAGATTTTTATGTTTTAGGTTACTCTGGAGCTGACATGGCTAATCTATGTAGAGAAGCAGCATTAGGTCCTATCAGGTCAATGGCTTTTGGTGAAATTGAATCAATATCAGCTGATCAGGTAATATTCTGAATAAGAACAGAACTTAAGGCCAATTTAATGCTAATTTTGTTAGGTTCATTGATTAATAGCAGTAACCAATCTTTACAAAAGAGGAAACAAGAATCAGATAGATTATGATGGTTTTATCAAATGCAGGAAATAAGTAATTTTTTTAAATAATAAGAAAGCAACACGCGACCAATAAAGAAGAGAGATATTTATGATACATATCATTGCAAAGTCTGAAAAATTATTGAGCTTTCATTTCTGGAAAATGGGGAAAAAATCTTCAAACGATTCCATAGAGGCAGGTACACAACTTCTGTATGTTCGCAATATTCCTGTGAAGTTTTGTTGTGGGTTGAAAACTGGAGAAAGAGTTGGTTACACAAAATATGTACTTTCTTTTCCCTGCCTGCAAAAAAAACAACCTTCTGTCCACCTACTCTGCCCAACATTACCATACTATAAGCCAGTTTTGTTGTTTGTACAACATCCAAAAACGCAATAATATTTCTTTTTTTCTCATGATTTGTTGGGGGAAATCTTCAGTCCTCTTCTTTAATAAATTTTCTGTAGATTGTACAGATTGATATAACTTTTGTTATTCAACAAGAAGACAAGAATGATGACTCCTATTTTCCCTTTTTTCCCTCCAAATTTGTGTTTTCATAAATTTATTTTAAATTACAATTTGGGTTTTTCCTTTATGATATTTATATTACATTTCACAAATTCTTTAGATGAAAACAAGGATAATGACATATATTTCGTACAACCCCACAAAGTTGAAGGGACTCATGGAGTATCCCTATTATCCATGTTGAAAGCACCTGGCTGCTATGTCCAAAATCAAACAAAAGGCTAAATTAAGGTTTTTGTCTTATAATTTAATTTTGGATGTAACACGTCTTCTGATTGGCTGAAAGTGTTTTGTCTATCAGCTCATAGACATAATTTTGTCATGTGACCGTGACGTCATCAACGTTTTAATCATGATTTACTCCTTTTTAGTATTAAATTATAAGAAATGACTAATATTTTTTCTGTCTATTTGAAATAACATAAAAATGTGGTGCACACTTTTAAATAACCCGCTACGCGGGTTATTCAGTGTGCACCATATTTTTTATGTTATTTCTTCATAGACAGAAAAAATATTACAGTCATTTCTTAAATATCTTGTTAAAACAAATCTGGCAAAAATCATGAGAATGTAAAACTCTAACTACGATTCAGGCTCCTATGAGTCTAGTTGAATTAACAAATACTAATACAGCTTCCAAATGTTTTTAACAATATCCATATTGATAGTTATTTTTGTTATGTTGATAGGTTAGACCAATCACATTTGAGGATTTTGAAGATGCTTTACCCCAAGTGCGAGCCAGTGTATCAAACAAAGATCTAGACTTATATATAGATTGGAACAATTCATATGGTAGTGCTGGTTCAGTGAGATGATATATGATTTATTATGATTGTTCAGTAACATTGTCATTAAAAGTGCCAAAAAACAAGTTTGTTTGTCAAAAATCATTAAAAAATTAAAAAGGTTAGAAATGTTATATATTGTTAAGAAACAAACAATGAAAAGAAGTATGAAATTTTATCTTCTGTCATTGTAAAGAGTTCGATACAATATGTAAATAGAATTAAAAATCTTGTTGCATTGAAAATGTGAATTAATGAAAATATGGAATTATCTTTTTAAGTTAGCTAGAATGCCCATATGCGTACATTGTCGCTAGATGTCTTTGTAGTTTTGTTTTGTGTTGTTGGAAAAAATGGCTGATTTCTAACCCTCATCTACTTTTATTCAAATTAGCCATAATAAGAAATAGACAAATTTGTCAAAAAACTTATGTTTTCACACCTGAAAAAACTGCTGTCATTAGCTAACCTGGTCCAAAGGGCCAAGTGAGCTTTTCTCATCACTTTTACAAAATTCTTCTCCTCTGAAACTACTGATCCAAATTTAACCAAACTTGGCCACTATCATTATTAGGGCATCTAGTTTTAAAAATGTGTCCGATGACCCCGCCTACCAACCAAAAATAGAACTTAGTGGTGAAATGCAAGTTTAGTCTATTATCTTGAAAACCACTTAGAAAAAATAGAGAAAATCTGACTGGGCAGAAATGTTATGAATGATCAGATCTACCTATTGTCCATTTACCTCAAAACTGTCAGATGACTTTTTATAGGAGTTATTGCCCTAAAATGACGAATTTTACCAATTTTTTAAATTTTTGCCTACTATCTTGAAAATTATAATAGATAGAGAGTATTGCCCATTAATGATGGTTCTGACCAATTTTTTGCGTATTTGCCTTATGTCTGAAAAAACTATAATAGATAGATAGAAACTTAAATAAACAAAAATTATCTGCAAGACAAGATCTACAAATAAGTTAACATGGTTTAAATCTTCTGATTACCCCTTATTGGAGTTGTTTTCTTTAATAACGATTTTTATCATTTTTTTGCATTGATGCCTACTATCTGAAAAACTATATTAGATAGATAGAAACTTAAATAAGCAAAAATCATCAGCAAGACTAGATCATCAAAGAAGAGAATTTTGTCATGAATTCTGTTCTAGTCCACAAAGATGGAGAGTATCCATTGGTGAAGATGCACATAGACCTAGGTGAGCGACACGGGCTCTTAAGAGCCTCTAGTTTTTGGGATACAATTGCTGTTAAGCAATCTGTAGACTTTTACCATTGACTCCTTTCCAAGACTCTTACATCAACCATTTTGTGCTTTATATTGAAAAACAACTCAGATTCTTTTATTTTACAATACAGAACATCAGTATTAAGCAGTTGGGCTTTATATATTTAGCATCACGTCAAAATGGGAATTTCGCTGTTTTGATAAAATGCAAGAGTGGTTCCGAAATGAAACTATTTTCGTCAGATAAGTTCTGAAGTGGTGGTGTTCCTATTAGGTTACCTTATGAAACTTTGATAAGCACTAAGAAACTACATACCACTTGATGCTCAGTGTTGATCAAATGTTTTAAAGTAAAATTCATTCAACATATTTTAATATATAAATAATCATTAGCTGTGTTTATAAATCGCACTACCTTTAAAATGTCTTTCCATGAACAATCCAGGTGAAAACATGGATAATTTCAAAAAAGGTATTCATTATAAGGTTACAAATAAGTTTTTATGACCACTGCCATGTATGTCTCTTAGGATATAGTTATTCTGTCTGTACCAAACAAGTAAAAAATTACAACTCAAGAGACTGTTTTCCCAAAAGCTTTTATACATGGTAGAATTTATAATCTTGACCATGAACTCTATTGTCATTTCAATTTCTTCAGTTTTGGAAGATGTCTAGGACTTGTAACATTTTGGCCATATGAACCCTAAAGCCAAAGAAAGAACAGATTGACTTTTTATACAACCGCAAAAAAAATTTGCGGTCGTATATTGGTATGTCGACGGCGTCGTCGTAGTCCGAAGACGCATTAGTTTTCGCACAATTTCTTCAGTTAAAGTGAATGGATCTCTATGAAATTTAACCAAAAGGTTCAATACCACATAAGGATAGTTGGGATTGATTTTGGGGGTAATGATACCAACAGTTAAGGAATTAGGGGCCAAAAAAGGGCCCGAATAAGCATTTTTCTAGTTTCCAGACAATAACTTGTTGAACGGTGTATGAATCTCTCTGAAATTATACCACAAGTTTCCATACCACAAAGGGATGGTAAGGATTGACTTTGGGGGGTTATGGCTCAAACCGTTTAGGAATTAGGGGCAAAAAAGGGGGAAAAACAAGGGTTTCCTGGTTAATGGACAATTTAAAAGCAGTGTAAGGGAGGTAATCCAAATACATTTAGAGTATTAAAAATAAAATTTGGATTACCTCCCTAACATTGCTTTTAAATTATGTATAAAGATGTTGTAATGTCTTGAGGTGATTAGCTGTCAGTTAATTTTTAGAAGTTACTATTAAAGGAATATTAATTTTAGCCATGATTATGTATGTAATTTTTTTATTTTAAGACTTTTATGATGTATTTAAATTGGTAATTATATGGTTGCAAACTCCATTGGAAATTTGAATTGAGATTATGACCATATCTTGAGGGAAAGAATTTTTTTTTTGGAAAAAGGAGGGGGGGGGAGGTGAGAAAAATGAGGGGGGGGGGGCAATTTTTTTCTTATTTCAGATTTCAGAAATTAAAAAGAAAAAAAGAAAATTTCTTCAAATATTTTTGCAAAATAAAGGGGGGGGGTCAATATGCAACAGCATGGTGTATTGCACAAAAGCAAAAAATTTAATATAAATTCAAATCATATAACCAATTCTAAGTTCTTTGACTACAGTTATTCTGTGTCAGAAACCTATTATGTGTCAAATATTTAATTACAATCCAAATTCAGACCTGTATCAAGCGCGAATATTGTGTCCATTTTTGCCCCAACTGTTCAGAGTAGGACCTCTGCGGTCGTATCCAGCTGCGCTCAGCTAAGCATTTTATTTTATGCTTGTACAAATGTTTATTTGACACTCAGTATGTGGGATTGATAAGAACATTCAAAAGGAATATTTTTAAAATGAGTGTTTGAATTTCCAAGAATGAGAAAAATGTAGAGCAAAAATTAAAACTATAAATAAACACATGAACCATAGCTTGGCAAATTTTTAAAGTTGAAAAACTGTATTCAGATTGAATCAAATAGGGAATACATGTGAAGTTGAATTATTTTTAGAAAGAATACCAATATCAATGGAAACAATGGCAATCATATCCCTCAGAGCAATTCAGCTCTTTGATTTATGGCCCTGCTGCCAGGCGAAGGGGACATTAAGTGTTACCATTGACTTCTATACATCTTTCCATCTGTCCCATTTTCTTTTCTGCACTCCAACTTGAGTTTTCCTCTCCAAATTTTATGAAACTTGTACACAATGCTTAGAACCAAAACTGACAGACAAAGTACAAATTTGGACAGTGAGTTACTTACTGTTCTAGAGATATGCCCTTTATAACTTGGAAATTGCAAAATTTTTCTTGGAAAATTGCAAATTTGTTTGTTTCCACACTGTAACTGGCAGTGACATCAAATGCTCTCAAAAAGTATTTTCACGTATTATAAGCAAGCTTGAGCGAGGGCATTCGTTTCCTCAGACACATTCTTTGTTTATTTTCTCAGAAGAAAAACATAAATGAGTTCAAAAGCAAATGAAAATCATTTTTTTCCTGTATTTCAAAAAAAATATGGAGCATTTTGCAAGTAATGTAAACATCAAAATTGGAGACATTGAGAAAAATAAGCTTATATAAGATTCAGATGACTAAGAAAGAACTCTTTCTTCATTAGCTGCCTTGTGGGCAGTATTTGCTTTTCAAGGAAATTGAACATAAATTGAAACCAACAGAAATGCCAACAGTTAGTTGAAAACATGTTGGAAATTTGTTAAATTTGGAAGTAATTTCATGGGTTAAATCTATTGGAAGAATACATGAGTAAATCTTATATTATGAAATAAATATGAGTAATGTCCTGTCATATGGAACAAAAAATGTAATTTGTAGTTTAACTTTCATAGATCTAATCAAGAACAACTGATCATTGTTTGTTAGATGATACAAACTTTCAAAAATATATGCCAAGTAAAGACCTAGAACAGGGCATGATGTTTAATGGACACATATTATTATTCAGACTTTTGATATTAAGATTTCTCACTGTAATCTCCATTCCATAATTTTAAAATTTTAAATAAACAAGACATTTCCTTTCCTATTATTTGTTTTCCTTTCGTAGATGATTGCAGAGACACATCTTGGTTATGCATTCACCACCCCATCCCAACCAACCCCCCCCCCCAACCACCACCACCTCCACCACCAACCACCCGCCACCCTTTTACTACCAATGAAAAAAATCATGATCACTTTCAGCAGATGTTCTATACCAATAAACCAAGTCTTTATGATGACTTCAAAATTAAACTTAATTGAGATTGAAATGATTTAAGCTTTACTTTTTTTTTTTTAAAACGGGTAGAAATGCAGCTGTTTGTTAAAAAAATGTCTTGAATAAATTTTTTGGAGTTGGAAATGCATCAAAAATTGAACTTAATTCACAGGCTGAATCCATGGTATGCATAAATGAGCCATAATTAAAAAATCTGATTAAAGTTTTGTCATATAAATCAGTTTGGACTTTTTTTAAATCCAATCCAGAACAACTGACTATAGTTGTCTCGCCTGCGACGAAAATCACAGTATACGCGATGTAGGTATTACTATCTGGCAGCGGTGGCAGCGTAAACTATTTGTATAAAGCTTTATATTTCTAAAGGTAGAAGACCTGGATGCTTCATATCTTGTATACAGATACCTTATGTTACGAAGTTTCTGTCAATCCTTCCATTGTCCTTGACCTCATTTTCATGGTTCAGCGACTGCTTGAAAAAAATTTTGAATTTTTTTGTCATGTGAATTTCTCACTAATTATGAGTAATAGGATAACTATATTTGGTTTATGGGTTCCTTGCAACATCTACATG